AGCCGACTATGTCTGCTATAGGATACTCACCAAGACGGGCATTTTGACCAAATTTTTGTGTGAATTTCTCCATTCAAATACAATACTTCACAGAGAGCTTAATATTTGCGCGTGTTCTGAGACGTGGGTTCACGCGCTTCGGATGAGCGACCACACGGATCTTCTCACTGCGCACACGAGTTCACGTCTTCTGGCTCTTTACTATTTAAACTGGCAAGGCTTAAATGAGTTTAGTTTAAACACCGATAACAACGTGTGCTGTTCAGGTCTCACCTGCGCTATCAACACGTGATGACAGCATAAATGGCAGTTATTCCAGCATAAAGCACTCTCATTGATTAAAGCGTGACTGGATTGTCCACGTATTGTTTTTTTTTCTCTCTCATCGCTCTTGTTGTAATGTATTGGGAAGCCAGAATTTGTATCCATCAACAGAAACATGCATTAGCCGAACTATAACAAACCATATTACAGATGCATTGTCAGATTTAAGTTGAACCGCGGTCCTAGTGTATTCCAAACCGTGTGTGGAGAACGGTACGGTTCGATTTTTTTACCGAAAACCGTGGCACCCCTAATACATAATAATCTATAGTCCCAGAGGAGCCAGTGCATCTATCCTGACTCTGAAAACAAAACTAATTCAAATACTGAATTAATTATTGAACACTTGAATGAGAAAATGTGGAACAGAAAGATCCTGTCTAGGGATTCTGGGATTAATAAAGCTCTGTTGTTCTTGTATTTTGTCTACACACAACACACATGCACATACCTTTTTCGCCGCGTTTCTTACGCGTGCGGTCGATGTGATCTTTGAGCTGGATGCGGACTTGTCTCTCAGTGGGCTGGTCTCTGATGAACGAGTGCTTCAGTAGCTGCTCTGTGGATGGACGACTCGGATATGACTTCACGAGACAGCCCTCGATGAAGTCAATAAACTTCTTAGACCTGAAAGACACAGTAAACCATGCAAGAAATGAATGTATTAGCTGGAAAATAAATTCAAGACAAAACCTGATTATAGACTGATATTGTACAGGGCAAGAGGGAATGCCCTGCAGGCCTCAGGCCAGCGCGAACGCTTTTCAGGTCAGTTGCTGGTACGGCTGCTTGATCTATCGGGCGAATGCTGCATTGACAACATCACTCGTTGACAAAGTAAATTTCTTTTTATGCCATGAAAACACAGGGTTTTCTGTTATGAATGGAATACTTGTTGCTGTGAATCCTACTGATTTCTAGGTCACGAAATCACAAAAGTAAAGTCAGCTGGCAAACACAGATGAGATGCTGTTGAAAAAGGGCTAATAAGTTGTAACAGTCTTGGAAGCTACAGTTAGAAGAAGCTGAAAATGACTGATAAATCAGCAATATTTCACACTGTACACGACAGTTATATAGTTATATTATTATTACAGTAAATTGTAAAATATTTTGTAAGTAAAATAATGTAACTTGTTTTGTTAAAAACACATTTAATAAAAAAAAAATGGGGATTGTAAGATTTTTTGATGTTTTTGAAAGAAGTCTCTTATGCTCTTAAACACTAATAATGAGAAATATGATTAAAATAATGGTTTTATATTTGAATATATGTGATGGCAAAGCTGAGTTTTCAGCAGCCATTACTCCAGTCTTCAGTGTCACATATGACGATTTTATTTGAGAAATCTCTTTTTATTATCAGTTTAAAACAGTTGTATTGGTTAACATTTTTGAAAAAAAGTGATTTTCGTTAGGATTCTGTGATAAATAGAAAGTTCAAAAGAACAGCATTTATTTGAAATAGAAATCTTTTGTAACATTATAATTGCCTTTACTGTCTCTTTTAATTTAATGCACTCCTTGCTGAATAGAAGAATCAATTTCTTTTTAAAAAATCTACTTTTAAGCAATGTAGAAGAGATTTCTTCCTGTCACATTAATAATATATTGCTAAACCAGATAAACTCCTGCTTGATGAGATAGCTTAACTTTTCATTTAAAATTTTAAAGAAAAATTCTAAATCAAACAAAAACAGACAGAAAACACGGAAAAAGGTCAAAGAAAATGGCTGTTTTAAACAGGAAGCAGAATATCTTATTCAAAATTGCTAACAAGACACAATGCAGTAAACTGAAACATGCCTGCCTTTTAAATCCTAGACTAACATACGCTCCATCTCTACTTCTTATAGCCAGCTGTTCAAGGGCAGGGCTCTGACCAGAAGGACTAAAATAACTCCAACCCGAAAACTAAATCACAGCATGCCAATATATGACAACTACAACCAACCAACAGAAAAGAAAAAAAAACAGAAGAAAATGTAGGTAGAAAGAGAAAGCATCTTTCATCATACAAAAGCACTCTATATGTGTGGAGATGTAGCAAACACTGCAACTCCTGTCTGAAAAACATTATTAAACAAGGAAACCACATATGAAACCACATATGAGAAGAGAAGCTATATGGATTGCAGCGATCATAAGTATGCAGTGCGTGTATATATAGACAAGGGGAAAAAGGGAGGGAAGGAAGAAGGAAAATATAGCTTGATCTTAAAATAACAGCTGAGGGGAAAGAGCACAGCAATCAAACACGCTGATAAAAGACTCTTTCACTCAATGTGCCCAATTCTCAGACTAACTGACTCAAGAGGTGACAACAATTCATTAACGCAAGTAGAACAGTGACTGGGTCGCTGCTACATGCTGTCCGTGTGAGCGGGTGAGTGTGTGTGTGTGTGTGCGAGAGAGAAAATATGACAGTGTTGTGCTGCATAAGTTACGACAATGAAGCACAGATCGACATCCACCTCTGATTTTCTTTTTCAGGAGTGTGAAATATCACAAAAAAAATTTGTTTTGAGTTTTTATTTTATTTTTTAATATATAACTTTTTTTTTGTTACTGCTTTTGTTTAACTGGCATAACAGGGATGGGGAAGAGGGAGGTTTGGTATTATAGTTTGTTTGCTTGCTTGGTTTGTAAAACGTGAAATGCCTTAAGTAATTTATTTACTTTTGTTTGTTTTTTTGGAAAAGTTATACCATACAACAGTTAAGGCCCATTTACACCAAAAATGAAAATTCTAATGATAACAATAAGGTTTTAATAATCATTCTGATTCTATGAAAAAAGGGAAGCCCACATCAAAAATATAATGACTACGACACAGTGTAACAATTACAGGTGCATCTCAATAAATTAGAATGTCGTGGAAAAGTTAATTTATTTCAGTAATTCAACTCAAATGAACTTTTCCACGACATTCTAATTTATTGAGATGCACCTCTAGTGCTGTGTTCGATACAGCTGGCCCTGTATCGATATTGTGGCACGTGTGCAGCAGTGGACCGCGCTTAATTTGAATACAAGAACAACGTTTAAAATGATGTAGAAAAGTGCGAAGTTTCTAACAAATAATGAATATAGCATAATATATAGGCTACAAGGATTAATCTGGACAAAGGAACACAACTGGGTTGCCTGATATAAAGAGACGTAATCCCCTTTCGCCGCGTTTCTCTATTAAGTGAAGCTGTGGCTTTAATTCCTTCAGATACAAAGATGTTACCAGCTCTTTGTTGAGAAATATAAATGTAGCTCTTGAGCGATTAAGCAATTTAGTTGATAAAATTGCGGGGCAGCGCTAAAAAGTTTGTTCCTGAATGTCTGAGTGCGGCCGCGGCGTGATCTGTTTGAGTGACTGACACTGTTGCCAACTCTTGCAAGAGAAATAAGCAACCGCAGCTTAAAAAACAAGCCCAAAACAAGCCCAATATATTTTTTTGATGATTTATTATCATCAATATTATTTATTATCAATTATTTATTACCAATAAATGAACCTGCAACATATTAAACTGAAACCACTCTTTTATCTGAAAAGCAAAAACAGATATGTTATTTTACAAAAATCAGCAAACTGCAACAAAGTGAGAACAAAAAACTCATCTCCAATCACCTGTGAGCAGAATAGGATTGGAGAGATGGAAAAGGAGAAAAACACAAGAGCTTCAAAGGGGAACTGTAGCATAGCCACATATTTATAGCCTACTAAAATAGAGGCTATTCGAACCAAATGTATAAGCTATATAGATTTAGTATTAGTATAGGACTACTTGTTTTATTACAGCCCATGGTAATTAATACATTACAAAAACATTGTAAAACTAAAAAATTAGGCTAAAAGAAAGTCATCCCACTCCTCTACGTCTACTTATATCATCGCTTGGATTACAGCGTCACGCGCCTTCTTTTTGAACGTGATTTTCTCCAATGAGGGGGAGGACTACTTGTTTTATTACAGCCCATGGTAATTAATACATTACAAAAACATTGTAAAACTAAAAAATTAGGCTAAAAGAAAGTCATCCCACTCCTCTACGTCTGCTTCTGTCATCGCTTGGATTACAGCGTCACGGCACGTGCCTTCTTTTTGAACGTGATTTTCTTCAATGAGGGGGCGGAACATTTGGCAAATTACGCTGCAGCACTTATATTATTGCACTGGATGGCTATTAACTGATAGCAGACAGAGTGTCAACCAATGCATTGGAGAATACGGCGAACATAAATAAAGAAACGAAGTTGCTTGTCAGATTTCCCTAACAAGCAACCATATTTTTTTAAATAAGCCCAAAAACCGCAACCCGGGATTTTTTCCACGCAACTTTACAAAAAAAGAAGCCCAAAGTCGCGTATAATACGCGGACTTGGCAACTATGGTGACTGAGCGTGTGTGTGCGTTAGATACATTAGACAGCGCATTAGTTTAGAACTCTTCTCATTTTTATTTTTTAAACGTAGAGTGTGTTAATTTGTGTAATGATAACCTACCAGCAATGTAAATATGATTTTTTTTATATATTAGAATGAGTAAATTACAATATAAATTTATTAGAACGAGTACATCAGTATTTATAGGCTTAAAAACAAGATGCAAACAATCAGAATATTGTACCTGGTGGGGAGTGCCCAATGTAAACATGAAACATATGCCATTACCTATATTGTACTGTGGTACAGTTATGGAGGCCCTTCATAATGCAGAGGTCAACTGCTTGCTCTGCGAATAGTTAGAAATGGCCCTATAGTATGCGGTGTTTAATAAACAGCTGTTTTACTAAATTCTGCTGAGGTGAAATTCAGTGCAGTCCTGTATTGTGATACGTATCGTATCTTTGCTGGTGATACACAGCCCTATTAACAATATGGTTGGAATCACTTTCAGAATAATTTTTTTCCAGCCAATGAGTGAGAAAAACATTGACAGCCAATCAGAGCCCAACCTACTTCAAAGAGCTCAAGCATTTAAAATGGCAGACGACAACCGTGTGCTTATAATAAACAGAATTTGTACCTCATAAACCATGTACATGCTTTGCAAGGAGTTGGATAATAAAATAAGTTGAAAAAAAAAAACCCCTGAAAAGTTATCGTCCAGTACTTTCAACATTAATATAATTATAATTAAGAGTTACTGATGTAGATATAGTTCTTGGTGAAAATGGGCCTTCATTTCTGGCTGTCTAATCGGATTGGCTGAGCAGTGTTCAAATACCTTTCACTGCTTACAGTATTACTCCGTTTGCATTTCAGACCAAAGTATGTGAACAGTAAGGTAAAAACAGTAATGGTGGTAGGGCAAGCTCATATATTCAACTCTTTTTTGATTATCCATTTAAAAGCAGGAGCTGTAATGGTGACTTTAATGTGAGTGTAATGCAGCTGGTACGAGGGACTGATATAAAGTATATGCATAAAGAATATGTTTTTGTTTATAAGGCCTGGATCCACACTGTAATGTGAGGTTGCATCAGTAAACACATAGACAGTGTACTTACGAGGTGCTCCTTCAGCCATCTCTATAGCGGTGATTCCCAGAGACCAGATATCACTCTATTGTAAAACAACAACAATGATTCATTCCAAGTCATATGCTATAGTACAACTGACCTGATATAAAAATAAATAAACACACACAAACACTCACAATCAATAGAGAATTGCAATACTGTATCAAATAAAAATAAAGATCCAGTTTAAAAAAAGAAAAATAATAGCATTAACATTAATAATTGTACTGTTTATTTTGTATGAACATTAATGCATATCATGAGCTTAAAAGTGAAAACAAAAGAACGTTTCCACTAAAGAGTAATATAGAGGAACCATTTCCTCTTCTACAAGCAGTCACAGACAATGCTCTGTGACGGTACTCATTCAAACCAAACAGAGAGAAAAGTCTTGTATTCAGAATCAGAATCAGAATCAGAAAGAGCTTTATTGCCAAGTATGTTTGCACATACAAGGAATTTGTTATAGTGTCACAAGCTTCCAGTACACGGAGACAACAACAACACACAGATAATAAAAATGAGATGTGAATAAAATACACATGCATAAATATAAACCACAAAAAAAGAATAAATTGTATGTACAGGTGTGCTATAGATGGAATAGGAATAGAATAAAATAAAATAAGTTGTAGGGATGTACTAGGGTTTAGGGTGATAAATAAGTATAAGGTTATTGCACATACTGTACTTTAATTGCACAATGGGAGAACATTAACTGTTCATGAGGTAGATCAGATCAGCGAGTTTCTGTAAAGCTGAGCTCACGAGTATCTATTGAGTATCACTTCACTAAATAATGACCAAGCTAAATGTCACGTATAACAGGCTGACAGGTTTTTATGGCGATTAATACTAGTCCTACTTTAAAGGGTTAGTTCACCCAAAAATGAAAATTCTGTCATTAATTACTCACCCTCATGTCGTTTCAAACCCGTAAGACCTTCATTCATCTTCGGAACACAAATTAAGATATTTTTGATGGAATCTGAGAGCTGTCTGACCCTGCATAGACAGCAATGCAACTGAAATGTTCCCAAGTCCAGAAACGTAGCAAGGAGATCTGTAAAATAATCCATGTGACATCAGGGGTTCAACCGTAATTATACGAAGCTATGAGAATAATTTTTGAGCGCAAAAGAAAAGAAAATAACGACTTTATTCAACAATTCGTCTCCTCCGCGTCACCCTGTAGTGCCATCTGGGAGAATATCCGCTGGATGTAAACAATGTATGCTGTTCTGTGTCAGCTGCGTCACGCCGGATCTGTTTCCTACATTGTTGTGATTTGATCTGAACGAAAACAGCGCATCCGTGTGACGCAGCTGACACAGAACAGATTATTATTTTACAGATCTCCTTGCTACGTTTCTGGACTTGGGAACATTTCAGTTGCATTGCTGTCTATGCAGGGTCAGACAGCTCTCAGATTCCATCAAAAATATCTTAATTTGTGTTCCGAAGATGAAAGAAGGTCTTACGGGTTTGAAACGACATGAGGGTGAGTAATTAATGACAGAATTTTCATTTTTGGGTGAACTAACCCTTTAAATCTCAAAAAAGCTGGTGATTGAACATATTCTATTATTGGCATTTATGAAAATAAATACAAAAATTGGGCATATTTAAATTTTGGTAAACATGGCTTTATAGTGTTAAATTTATATCATTAAACCTTCCCATTTTATTGTTAGTAATCACAAAAATCCTGTCCATGTAATAAAGGCATTAGTTTTGGTATCAGAATCTGATAACAGGGCTTTATATGATCTCAATATAGCAACCACCATGAGAGGATGCAGATATTTCTAGACCACTGATCTGATAAACATGTTGTAATTTAATATACATTATATTAAAACTGAAAATGCTTAGTGACCCACACACAGGTGTACACAACCGTTTAAGAGTTTGGACTTCTTTCAAAAAAATCTTACCAACCCCAAACTTTTGAACAGTGGTGTACATCAACAGTCAGAAGCTCATTTTACCCTGTAATCATAGGTGGAGTCGGGATTCTCATCACAGGCAATGACTTCTGGGGCCATCCAGTATGGCGTGCCAATGAAAGTGTTTCTCCTGCCGACTGTACGATCCAACTGTGCGCTCACCCCAAAGTCCACTACAGAGAGAGTGAGAAAGGAGGAAGCAATCAGGGTCTGTAATATTACAAGACACTTTGTGCTTACAAACAGAAACCTGTTGCACAGCCAAAATGTTTATATTCATCTATGCTAATTCCTTCTCTCTCACACACGCAGCCACACTCTTCCACTTCCGCCACACACTCCCTCAGGTTGTGGTGTGTGAAGATATTTTTGTCACGGTGTCAGGCCTATATTAATGAGCTTCGGTGCTTTGCTCTAGTTGTTAAAAGATGATGTTCTCTAATCAGACAGGATATAGGCTAGACCAGAGGTCCCCAACCACCGGGCTGCAGACCCACTACCGGGCCGTGGAAGAACTGCTACCGGGTTGCAAGAACGTTCTGGGAAAAATGTGTAGATATGACACTCTGTTATTTATTAATGTTAATGATTGTTCTAATTATTCTGTATTTTCTTTGAATGCGATTGATTTGGAGTAGCAATTTGACAATTTCATATTAAATAAGTAAATGAAAGATTGCTCTGATCTGTCACATATTAGGAGTTAAACGGATCGCAGTTGATCCGTAATACTTACGGTTGAGACCCTACCATTCGGCACGCACGTGATTCGCAGATTAATTTGCCAATTTACACGTTCAAGCAATTTTAAACCACAAGAAGAGAAGCAATTCATTACTCGCGCGCTGTTCTCGCACACAATCAAAGTAGAGACGTGTTTCAGACAGCGCGGAAATACCAAGTTGCGTATACATACACATAAAATTAGCCTGTGTCAAAAACCCTTCATGGCATTGTCTTTCTCTGTGCTTTAAATATTTTTTTTCTTGCTAATCCGAAAAATAGTCCGATCTGTGACGCAAAAAAAACAAACAAAAAAAAACAATATAATGCGTTGAACCACTATATAATGCTTTTATAATACTATATAATAGCCTAATATATATATATATATATATATATATATATATCTCCC